TTCGCACGGGATGCAATTAGTAAACAATATTTATTAAGAAATATATAGAAATATTATGTAAAGATAGAACAATGCATACATTCTGTTTAACAAAACTAAATGCAAATTAAAAAAATTCAAATTATTATTATTATTTTCTAACCGTAAACAACATTCACTCAGTTTTTTAGATCCCGTAGGCAATCGGTCAAAATTGGTGAGACAAAAGCTGAGAAACATTTGTTAAAAATAAAAAAATGTAGACATATGATAGGGGTCCAAATCAAAACCAAAAAACATACCTCTTTAAAATACATGAAAGGAAGACAAACATGTGAGAATTATTGGGAAAATGTACTCCAATAGGAGTTCTGACATCTATATATATATATATATATATATATATATATATATATATATATATATATATATATATATATATATACATAATGAGAGAGTTCAACATACAAATGGAAACAAATATTCCTAAAATATATTCTATTACACCCCCTCAAACTATGCGGGAGATACAACGCGCAGGTTGTTTTTTTAAAAATGAAATTGCTGACTAGAAAGGCTTTTAGTAAAAATGTCAGCTAGCTGTAACTGCATAGGAATATATTTCAAAATCAAATCTCCATGCGCAATGCGTTCTCTAACAAAGTGATAGTCAATCTGAATATGTTTGCTACGAGCATGTTGAACAGGATTAGCAGTCAAGTAGGAAGCAGATATATTGTCACAGAATAACTGAACAGGAGCTTCGACAGGATATCCGAGCTCAAACAAGATGTAACGAATATGTAAGGTATCTTGGACAGTGTAAGCAACAGCTTTGTATTCAGCCTCTGTGGAAGATTTGGAAATTGTAGGCTGTGTAACACTTGAGATTTAATATAAATGGATTAATAGTACTACTCATACCAAACAAGGTGCATCTCCTTTTAAGGGAGCTCATTAGCCAAGAACTCCAAAGTTAAGCGTGCTTGCACGGGAGTAGTCTTGGGATGGGTGACCCTCTGGGAAGTTTCTCAGGGCGCGCACGAGTGAGGACAAAGTGCGCGGTAAAGGCTCGTGGCGGTTTGTGGGGACAGTACTATTGGTTCGGAGTAACTACCTCGGGTCCCACGGGGCCGGGGTGTTACAGGTGGTATCAGAGCAACCTTGCGACAGTGTACCTATCCGTTGGATATCGGGCAGACACTTAGCAGGGGAAAAGATTCTAGGGTTTGATTGAGATTGGTTTAAGGGCGCAACGAGGACGTTGCGATTTTAAGTGGGGGTGATTGTAACACTTGAGATTTAATATAAATGGATTAATAGTACTACTCATACCAACAGAGGTGTATCTCCTTTTAAGGGAGCTCATCTCCCAAGAACTTCAAAGTTAAGCGTGCTTGCACGGGAGTAGTCTTGGGATGGGTGACCCCCTGGGAAGTTTCTCAGGGCGCGCATGAGTGAGGACAAAGTGCGCGGTAAAGGCTCGTGGTGGTTTGTGGGGACAGTACTAGAGATCTGGAGTAACTACCTCTGGGCCTGCGGGGCCGGGGTGTTACAGGCTGCTTCTTAGATTTCCATGAGATCAGGTTCGGCCCTAAAAAGACAGCAAATCCAGTCGTGGATCGAGATGTATCTGGACAGCTAGCCCAAACAGCATCAGAGTGGGCAATGACACATGTCGCATGTGTAGTCGGGCGCAACCATGTGAGTAGTACAAGGATCATGCATAAATTGAGACACTAAATGGACAACATAGGTAATATCAAGTCGTGTCAGAAGCGTGTGCGATTGTTTCGGATCCAGGTTTCAATTACTGTTTCCATCTCTGTCGTGATATCTCCTCTGAGTTTTCTTCTCTCTGCCGCCCTTTATCATCATTCGCTTGTGATTTTTAATACAAATCCCCTCATCAAAGAACTTTGATTTCCATAAGGTTAGGTCCCGGGTTCGAATCCCGACAACTGCGATGAGAGGTTACTATGCGAGTGCCTCTGCAAGTACCGAGGACGGAACCCCACTCTCTATCTGTCGGATTGTGATTATAGTCCAATTTACATCCTCCCATCGTGCTATATGATCGGTGTTGGGGATCTTCATGGATGGGGTGGTCATTTTTTTTTGAAGAACTTTGATATCCTTAATCAACTTCTCTTTATGAATCACGGTGAGTCTTGCTAGAAATAATATTTATTGTCATTTATCATTGAATTCATCTAGTTAGTGAGATTTTTATCGTTAGTAATGTTGATTTAGTAATTTGGTTGTGGTAATCGTTGAATCCAGTTTGTTAGATCTAGATGTAGCAATAGTTGAATTCATCTTCTTAGTAAGAAAGAATATTTATTGGTTGTGCTCTTGTATTTGTTGTTTGTCTGCTATATTGATTGATAAGACGTTTTCACCATGTATTTGTTCTTATCCTTTGGTTAGGTTGTTTGATTTTTGAGCTTTATGTTGATTTTAGTTTACTCTTCATTTTATCCAGTACGGCACTATCACAGTTTAATTGATGCACTTTCATACATGTTCTATGCACCTTTATCTCTATTAGTCTATAATGATAAACACTCTGCTTATTGAGCCTTCATACATATAATTCCTATTCGTTTTGGGTTATTTTCTCTAGAAAATTTATTTTTCTGTTATCTATTTCATTTTCATCACTTAAAAATAAAGATGACTTTCAATTAAACTTTTGATGCACTTACGTGCTTTAGTCATGCACATTCATTAGTTTTTTTCTTTTTGCAAATATGGTGCAGTGTCAATGGAAGGATTATGATCCATTTGGAAGAAAAAATGCATTTGACCTTGTAAAAGATGTCATGTCAATGTAAAATTGTAGAAACTGAGATATGATAGTGCATTTTGTATTTATTTCAAATGCACAAAATAAAAGTGCATGCCATTCTTTTTATGTGTGTAGAAGTTTAGAAAGTGCTATATAATGGTGCACTTTTGTATACGCTTGAAAATACTGTTTACTTTAATCCTTGTATACTGTATATTGTTTACTTTAATCCTTGTTCGAGAATAACAAATTAGCTATATACCGCCAATGCGAACAATTGTTTACTTACAACTCCATCAAAATATCAACATATCAATTAAATTTATTTATTTATAAAAAATAATGTTTAAAATAATTATTACTTGTTTTAGTGCATTTTTATTTTTTTAAAATTATGAATACTGTTTAAGTAGTTGGACTGATTAAATTAATAAAAAATTAATTAATGTCCTTAAATATCTTTGGGAAAATCGCATATATGGTCCCTCAGTTATCCATGAAATTAAAATCTCAGACCTATATTTCTGAGATTGTAATTGTCACCCCTCAATTGTCCAAATTGTTGTAAATGTGGTCCTTTAAGTAGTGAAATGTACTCTCACCCACATTGTATATTTCACCTTTCAAAAGGACCACATTTACAGCATTTTGGTCAATTGAGGAATAACATTTATAATCTCAGAAATACAGGTCTGAGATTTTAATTTCGTGGATAGCTGAGAGACCATATATGCAATTTTCCCATTATCTTTTAACAAGTTATCAGCTGACCGTAAACAACCTTTCGAACAAACACCGTTTTACAAGTCATTAATCAAACGGCCAAATGAATCTGTTGTCATCGATGAATTAATACAATCGGCCAACAACCAATTGACAAACACCCATTATATATTTGTTAATTAACCATTTAAACATTTTCACACATACAAAGTATTTATTATTCTCTCTGTCCATTTCACATGTTCTACTTTTCTTTTTGGGTTGTCCCAAAATAAATGTCTCATTTTTTATGAAAAGAAATATGTGACCTACAACATTTCATTTTATTATACTTAAAATCCAATCACAACTTTAACTTTTTCAAGCACTTTATTAATAATTATGTCAAGTCAAAGTGAGACACATAAAATGGGGTGGAGGTACTAAATTTCTTTATCTACAATTTTTTCAGGTGAATTTACTTTTTCATTTTTAGCCATTAAAACCGTCGGGAGGTCAAGGGTACCACGGTTAGGGGTGAAACTTTGGAATCAAGAACCAGAAATCCGTTGGAACCAAACCGTTAAAATCCAGTTTGGTTCCTACACACGAGTTATAAATTGTTAACGGTTCGGTTTTTATTCTTTGTTAACGGTTCTTCTTCCTACAAAAAATATGTCTACAGAACCGGTTATTTAAAAAAGAAAAAAAAATTGAAAGTATAACTAGTAATAATAATAATAACAATAATAATAATATTAACATTAACAATAACTACAGTTATAGTAACAACACCAGTAGTAATAATAATATAATCGATGACATCTAATCACACAATAATTTAAATATAAATTGATGGAAGTGGATGAGGATGAATACATTAACCTCGTTTTTTACATATCATATTTTGTTACATCACGGAAATTTCATTATTATAAAAGTAAACCAAATTAATTTGTGTTGGTTCGATATATTTTTTCTTTAGAATATTTAAGATGATTGTAATTGTGAGATTTGGTATAAATAATGCTCCTAGGATTTGAAATGTAATAATGTTTATATTTGTACTTGTATATTCAATTTTTTTTTACGTTTTGAGGAACTTGAACTAGATGTCTTATTCAACTATGACGACCCAATTTTTATTGATATCAAACAACAACGATTTTCATATTTTATTTACAAACAAAATTCAAAAATTATTTAATCCTATTAAGTGTTGAATAAATCAAGTTTGGACTTTATGTTTGAAGTGATGAGTTCTTCAAAAAGCACTTATTCCTTGTGTTTTGAATTTTCGACGTTTTATCGTTTTAGAAAATAAATTGTGTTAATTTCTTTATGGAAAAAATTGTGTTTAGGAACTGATAAAAGTAAGAAACGAACCATTTACTATTGATTCAGTTCTGTAAAGTTTTTTAAAATTTTAGATAGCAATAGAACCTACTCCCTCCGTCCCAAAACAACTTCCCACTTTAGATGTCCAAAATTAACTTCACACTTCAAATTTATTTTGTAGACGGAGGGAGTATTATTTTAGTTAAGTTTTCCCTCTCGCCTTTCTGCACTTCCACCCGGAGAAAGCCCCCTGAATTCGACCAAAGTTGCCGGGCATTATCGCCGGATAATTCTTCCAAACCCCAAGTCCGCCACCACCCATACGTCCCTCACTACTACTGCTCTGAATCACGCCCCTTCCGGAATATACTCTGACCTCTCTGTTTAACACCACCATAGTCTGCCCGTTTCCCCGCCGTATCCAGACGTATCCCTCCATCCCAGCCGTCTACGGGACCTTGACCGCGTATCCAGCCACTTCGAATGCCCTACGCCTGTCCCAGGCCTGCCCGACTCGTGTCCGGCCACGCGATTCTCCTCAGGTATGGCGTTTGCTGCTTGATAGACTAGTCCTTTATTATAATCATTCACTTCGAAATGAATAAAGTTCCCCTTTTCAATTAAATATTAATTGGCTGAGCCGAAACCCGAAGCATTGAATAATATTTATGATTATTCACCCTGAACTCGTGCTGCACTTAACAACAACAACGATCTGTAATAATTTTATAATGGAATTGTAGTGCGCATTAGGCATTTAGGCGTTCAATAATAAAATTTTTAGTGGCGGAGGAGCAAGGAGCTCTTCTCTGGCACTCTAGACTTCACCATACAGCTTACAACACAAACTTTCTCCATTAGTGAGTTATCTCTCCCTTGTGTGCTTGTGCTTTTTATGTGTGTACATGAATAACTGAAAAGACATCGCCTCCCTTTTATATTGTTGCTCCAGCTGAATAAGCTGCATGAGTTCAATTGTGTATATGAGAAGTCTTTCGCTAAGTGTATCATTGTATAAATGCTACTTTGAGAGAGTATTGATTTTCACTTTGTAGTAGCACCAAGATGCTCTGCTCTACTGCTTTGAATATATGTCCATTGATGTGGTGTAAACGTGAGCTGCAAGCCTTTAAATTTGCATATCCGGAACAGATCTACAAAATAGATTGTAGGATATACTGTCCTGAACTGAGTTCAAAATTTATAACTCAAAATGGATTATCTAGTCATCTGGATGGAAGCTCAGTGGGCTCAAAAGCCCCAAAGCTACATAATTGAGATGGGCAGCTATGGAACACTCGGGAATAATGTTGAGCTTTAATTGGGGTTATATAGTGAAAAATGGGTTTACGTGAGATGTGGGTTTTCTCCGCACAAGAGTTCCTCTTTGTTCATGGCTGTCCGGCACACCTGGGTTCCTGTTGTTGGTAAAACAAGGCCCTGGCTGTTATATTACATTTCTTTTTGGTTTAAAACCGATGAGCTTGGATTTGTGGCTTCTAGATAATGGAAGATGAAACAGCACTCAAACACTTGTACTGTGAGATATCATGGATTCAATTTCAATGGTAGCATCATGCTATGATGGCTAAGGTGAGAGGTTCTAGTGGCTAGGGTTTTTACATGCAACTTAGTTGAACTCGAGGGAAATAATCTGAAAGAAACTATTTAAGAATCAATACATTCTCCCTTAAGCGAAAAAGAAAAAGGTTACCAATTTCAACACTTTTGTTCCAATAATTTGATTGTATTCATGTACTCATCCTCCCATCATTAAACATATATTCCATAATTTCTTCAACAAAACATTCTAGTGACTCTAGTCATTGGTTGAAATTTATATATACTCTACTATTTTAGATTCTTTAACTATTATCCAGCATTTGGATGAGTACTAGTACATGTTTGGCAAAATAAAGGTGTAAAACATGAAATTATTGGTTGCAGAAAGTTACTGCCCTGTAGTCCAAAGGATGCAATTTTTGAAAGACATTGTACCAGCTGCATTGAACAATGTAAACACAAAATTCATAATTTTAGACAAAGGAAGAGTATCAGTAGATGTACAATCAAAGATGTGCTTGGCATTAGTGGGTGATGAGACTGCAGCCGTTCATTTCCAGATGTGGGCTGATGAGTGTGATCAATTTGAGCCTGGTGACATTATTACTCTTTCAGATGGCATATTCTCTTACTGTTGCAACACTCTTGTGTTAAGAGCTGGCAAGAGAGGTAAGGCAGAAAAGGTGGGAGAGTTCACCATGTCCTTTGTCGAGACACCAAACATGAGTGAGATTCATTGGATCCCTGATCCTAGTAACTCAAATATATATGTCGCTGATCATGTTATTTCTCCCTATTCGCGAGTTTTCCCGCCTGCATCCTGACAAGGGCTCCTCGCAGGAATGATATTAAGTTTCTATTGAACACAATTATTTGTTTCTTTTTGTTTTATTTACTGATACATAGAAATTTGTCTGTTGAGGGAGTCTTAGATAGAGGAAGATGTAACAAATATTCATGTTTAGATAGAGTAATAGTTGTTTTGATGTAACAAAGATGTTTTTCCGTACTTAACTTTTTGAGATCTCTTTGCTTTGAAATATAATAGTCTCTTTATGTCATATCATCAATTGAATATATCTGAGAGTATCGAAATGACACTTATGACTTATACAATGATGACTATCAAAACTTAATTTGCTTATGAAGATTGATGCGACCTACGTTCTTCGTATAGAAATCCAATGTAATGGCTTGCGGAGCAAAAATTTCAATCACTTTGTGTGATTTTGCAAATTAGTGTATTGCAGATCACTATGTTCTTCATCAATTAGTCTCCAAGTTGCAGATGATATTATAAGTTTTCTAGCAGTGTATTGAGTTGTACTTGGAGACAGTTAGTAACCATTTACTGAGAAACTCGGTCATTCTTATTTGTTTTTACAGAAATTAAGAACGCTTAGTTATTAGAACAGATATCTGAGTTTGCATCTTCCCATCTCTAACATGTTCCACTTGTAACTTAAAATTAGTCCATTTCATGTGTCATTTGGTGCTATTATTGATATCATTAACCTTGGCGGATAGGAGAGGCTAAAAGGGTAAATTTAAATGTCATACCATAATTTCCTTCCAAACAAGAGCTCTGGTTGGATGTGAATTAGTGACATTGCTTAAGTTTCTGCCGCATATATTTGAGACAGCTACCTATCCTTACCATTACAGTCTTTTGGTATCAATACAGCACATAAAGCACATACACACATAAAGCACGCAACTGTAAAACAAAAATTGTAATGTTAGAAAATCAAATGAAAAAGTACCAATTTGGTAGTTCATAGCTTGTATTGACCCTTAAAGTTATGTCTGCAGACTGCAAGATCCTTCCAGAATGGTTACCAATATTCTGTCATATGGATGTCCTGCAACTTCCCAGCCTTTAACCCATGAGCACTTCAGATCCAGTGTAGAAGCTGTCTGCCTTGAGGAACCTTCATCTTCCCTCACTAGAATGATGCAGTCTCAGTTAATCAACAAGTATGATTACTACATATTAGTTCAATTTTAGTTGGAATTGTAGCAAATTGCGAAATTTTACATTTAACATTTCCTGATTGACCATGAATTGTAATGCTTAATGATATTCTGAATCTGTGGTGTTTTTTAAATCAATTGCGCCATGACATCATCTCCTAAGATTGGCAACTAAACCTTGTCTCTAACGTGTTAGGAGGATTGCATGGTTGCTTAGAAGCAATGCAGATGGCAGGGGATTGAATTCTTCCTTTACCAGTGACAACAGCGATAGAGCTCGGCTTATTAGGGCCATTGAAGCTCTTCAAGCCAAATTGAACACAAGAATGAAGGGGTTTAGGGCGAATCTTCCCATGAAGTTGCTGCTTTTGTTAATTGGCTTTTATTGTGCAACAGCTTTTGCCACAGTAATTGGGCAGACTGGTGACTGGGATGTTCTTTCTGCTGCATTGGCAGTGGCTGTGGTGGAGGCCATTGGTGCTCTCATGTACAAAACGTTCTTTCCTTTTGTAGATAAGGTAAAGGATCTAATCACCATGCTCAATTACTGGAAAACTGGACTCACCCTTGGACTTTTCTTGGACTCCTTTAAGTATTAGCTTTAGGTGGAAACGGAATTAACTAAAGAGCATTGTTATTGTGGAGACCAAACATGCGCTTATGAAGATCCAATGAAATGCTCCCCATGCTTTCTCACCTTTTTTGGATTATCCGAGGCACATTGAGACCAATATGTGTATGTGAAATAATGACAAATAAAACTTTTTTATGTATAGTTACCATATTATTACGTAGTATTTCCGCAGTGATGGGTGATCTGATGTTATCGTTTGACTTTAGCAATGATAGTCTATTGACTCTTGTCTATATAATCATATTTTTATCCATGAATTCTGCTTATGTTATAAAATACGAATCTCTCTCTCTCACACACACACATTAGGGAAAGTTTTATCGTACAACAATTAGACTTGCATTGTTGTATGGTATAAAGATGCACATCTTGTGTTGGATGTGTGGACATATTTGAAAAGACCGCTTAAAGAATGAGATAGTCAGTCAAAAGATGTGGGCAATGCCAATTAGAGATAAGAAGTGAGAATCACGATTGCAAATTGCAATGATTTAGACTTTTAGAATAATTAGGGATGCTATGGTACATCTTGAGTAGGTGAGAGCGAAATGGAGAGTAACGTGTGAAAGAATGATATATTTTAGTCTCCCTTTTCTCTATTTATTTTTTAATGTGATTTCATATGTCGATTCAAGTTAGTGTTGGGTGTGTTTATATTTATATTTATATTAGTGTTACACAATGAAAAAATGCCCAATATTGTTTTTTAAAGCAATTTGATTAAGATGTATTTTTTGTTAGTAGAGTTAAGTTGCATAAATATAAAATCAATGTAATTCCAAGCTAATTACATTGATTGCAACCCAGACTAAGATCATGTCCATGCCTACTCACAATGTATATAAGTCTGCACCGAGATCAAGCACACATGGACCTTGGAGATATGTTCTATAATGAGCGAAAAATAATACTCCCTCCCTCCCATAATTATCTTCATTCTTTCCTTTTTGGTCCGTCCCAAATTTATCTCCTTTTTCCCTTTTTAGCAAAGGATTTGTGGTTCACAACCATTCTTACACATTTCTCTCTCCTCTGCACAACTCTCCACCACACATTTCCCACTTTCTTAATCTCCGTGCCCAGTTAAAACCGCAGTTAATTCTGGGACGGAGGGAGTAATAACAATGAGAATCAAATTAGATAATCGCCAATTTTTTTTTTACTCCAGGGGTTTGGGGGAAGCCTGGATTAGATAATCACCAATAAACAATGAGAACTATCTAACTTATTTAATCTTGTTTACACTTTTCATTTGTACAAAAAAAGAATCCATAAATAATAAAAATACATAATTCACATACTTCCTCTGTTCAATTGAAATTTTCCTACTTTTCTTCTATGTTTGTCCCGAAAACGTTGATATATTGTCATTTTCGATTTAAGGTAAATAATTTGTGATTCTACTTATATTCCTCTATTTTATGTTCAACTGTCAATTATACAACCTTTTATTTTATTATTTCACACTTTGGAATAAATTACAATGTTCAAGATAGTTTGAAAAAAATTAAAAATACTCTTATATGAAAGGAAAAGAGCCTCTTACATAATCAGTTCAAGATGAAGATATTACCAAACAATGCATCAACAAATCAGTTCACTCACAAACAGGCCTATCGTCAGTTTGGGCCACAAGGTCAGACAAACCCGATAGGCTAGCAGAATACACAATTTTGTCGTCCTTACCCAATTAGACAACCCGCGTTTGCCCTAGGCGGTATATGAGTATATTCGCGCTTCTCAGCCGTAGTTCTGTATATAACTGTTTTTGTTTATCTCAGGGTTGGATCTACTACGATAGCTTTTCATGAATACAGTACGTCTGATTCATTCTTTGAAACCTTCAAAACTTATGACGTTGTATTTGCGTTTCCCTTTGTTTTTTTTGCTGGAAAGTTGCATTTTTTGTGCGATTTGCGTTCGCTTCTTTACTTGTAGATTGTTTTACAAAAATAATCTATTCTATGGGGATTGGATTAGGTCAAAGAGATACTGCACCAATTTTTGTTTCATGATTTCAGTGATAGAGGATGAGATGATGATTATTGTCAAAATCTTGATTGCTGCTATGATGGCATTACAAGTATTCGTACTGACTGATCATTCTTTGTTTAGCTGTAATAGGTTCTTTACTCTTTTAGTATATTATTCTTTGTTTTTGTATCATTTCTATTGTTTTTCCCTTATTAGAATGGTTATTTTGTGAGTTTAGATAATTAGCTGTTGAAAACATATAAAGCTCTGTTTTAGAATATGAAATGGTTGAAAGTTTAGTAGAAATTTATCATTAATTAGATAGATCTCTACACCATATTGTTTCCTGATTTTTTTTCACCGTGGGCGCTTTAAGAATGAAATGATGAGAAAATATACCATTGATGGCAAAATATGATTGCCTTTTATCATGTATTAGCTCTAGCAGATCATTCTTATGCTTGCCCGATGTATGCCTGTGTAGTAGATGGTGTTTGTTAAAACTACATATTTTTTGCCCTTTTTGTATTGCTTTTTGATTAATCTATTCTATAATTCACTCTATCCATCTGTCAATTAACAACTTATATTATAATTCACTCTATAATTCACTCTATCAATTTGTGGTGTTTAGTGCTGATTGGTTGAGATGTCTTTTAATTGCAGTAAAAATCATACCTTTTGCCCCTTTTTATGTGTTTTTTCGTTTAATCTATTCTATAATTCACACAATCCATTGATGGCCTTGGAGAATGAGGTGATGACAGTTATAACATGTTGATGGCTGAAGTGATGGCATTTTATCATGTATTAGCTCTAGCTGATCGTTCTCGTGGCTAAATTTTTTCTTTCTGATGAGGTCTTGGTTGAGAAACATTTTTTTTACTCACATAATATCAGATTAATTAGAATATTTCTTACTCTAGAAATTGTGACAGTATTTCAAAGTTATAAAAAGATACACAGTACAGATTTAAAACAAAATCTCAGTTTCATACTTCATCCTCCTAAGTTGTTAGTTTACCCTTATTTCAACAATCCAAATATTCAATTACAAAGAACCATTAAATGGGTTTTAAATAGACCTGTACAAAACCCCCCAGCCCGCCCGCACAAATAGGCGGGCTTGGACATATATATTTACCCACCAGGCCCGGCCCGGCCCGCAATAACATATGAGTGGGCTTGGGTTAGGGTGTAGGCCCGTTCGGGCTAATAAGCCTGACCCGCTACATTTAGTATATATACAGTTTTTAATATATATACTAATTTAATTATTTATTTACATGTACACATGTATATTTCACTACTAGAATTTTCTCTATTTGCTGTTACCCATTTGCTGTGGTTCCTTAAAGACCGCCGCAAAAAGTTGAGAATTTCGACTCTTTTGCTGCGGTTGTTTAAAACCTGCAGCAAATAACTAATATTTTTCGATTTTTACATTTTTTTTTACCTAATTGCTGTGCCTGTACTAATAAATATAAATTTATATTTATTAATTTATCTTTATACATATTTATAGTTAATTATATTTAAATTTAACATAGTCAACATATGCTCAACACTACTGGACCAACTTATTTTCTTAAGTTTTTAGTTCTTAACAACTAGCTCAGCCAAGATAATATCTACTTTTGTACTTAAAGATGATACTTTGTGCTTGAATTTTTATATTTTAGCTATAGTTTCTCATTAAATTTTTTGTGCAAGTATCTTTATACATATTTATAGTTAATTATGTTTAAATTTAAGTTTTTAGTTTTTAACAACTAGTTCAACCAATATAATATATGTAGTATGTAGTATATTTTAGTACTTAAAGATAATACTTTGTGCTTCAATTTTAAATTTAGGATATAGTTTCTCATTATATTTTTTGTGTACGTGGTGACAGGTTTAAAAACATTATAAGCGTATTAGCAATTTTTTAAATGTTGTAATACCATTTATAAAGTATTAAAAAAATTATATAATTTTTAAAAAATTAAAGTTTTCCCAGGCCGGGCGGCCCGGTGGACTACCTGACCCGCTCTAACGGGCGGGTATGGACATGAGGTTAGGCCCGTTTTTGCGGGCTGGGCTGGGCCCGCCCACACATGATGGGCAAAAAATTTATAAAAAGCCCGGCCCGAGCCCGGCCCGAGCCCGGCCTGAACCCGTTTTTGTACAGGTCTAGTTTTAAACAAACAAAAAGAAGACATTGGGAGATCGAAGACTTCTTTAGTTTCAACTTTGTTGAAGAAATTATGACCAAATTTGTAGGCGTAACACCTCCAAAATTTTTAGAAGAAATTTTTGGCTTTGAATAGATTAAGGGTTTTTTACCCTAATAGGAGTGAAACATATTTTCCCCTATATAGGACCACTTGGTTTAAACACTTAAATAGGACTTTTTATGTGTAATTGGACTAAAATATCCCTATTTCTGTCCCTGGACTGTTGCCAATTGACCACCTGCGACCACCGCCGGAAAATTTTCCAAAATTTTTTTCTGAACGTTTTCCGGCGCTTCAGCCCCCGGCCGCTGCCGGCACCGCTGGAGTTCGCCGCCACCGCTGGAATCTGTTGCCGCCACCACCGGACTGCCCCACTACCAACAGATTGCCTTGGTTGTGCAAGAGAGTTGGGGGGCAGAGTTAATTAATTGTCGGAGTTTGACGCCGCCGTCGGAAACCGCCGCCGATCGGCTGTTGGAGTTCTGCCGCCACCACAGACTTCCCCGCCACCGACGGATTGCCTTGGTTGTGCAAGGAAACTAGGGGGGGCAATTATTCAGACCAATTAATTAATTAAATAGAAATAGGGGTAAAAAAAGTAAGATTAGTCCTATTTAGGAAAAACCAAACATTAAGTCCTATTTTAGGAAAAAACTTATGTTTTTGTCTTAACAATAACAATTTTCTCATAGATTAAAGCCTCCATCCTTGAAACCTAAATTTTAGTTTTTGTATTTCCATCATTTTGTATACTCTTTTATAATTAGTACTCCTTTTGTATTTGAAAGTTCTCTATAATAGATTTGGGCACACCATGTAAGGGTGAACATGTAAAGAAATTGAATAGTGTAAAAAAATAGGAAAGAAGGGGGTACATATAAAACATGAGATAAAAAGGTAGAAAAAGTAAGAGTGATTGAGTATTTTTTTTGTCTCGAAGTAAACCACACGTGGTGGCGTGATTGCCCAAGAACACTACCAAAATTTATTAATAAAAGGTAAAGTTCAGGTTACAAGAGATAAAAAGCATACAGTCAAAACCAGAAATAAAATAAAAAATAGGAATTTAACGATTGAAGTTC